CCCCAAAACCCCAAAACCCCAAAACCCCAAAACCCCTTTAAATAAAAATTTAAATAATTATTATAGTCATGAAATACGGAGAGCTCATAGAAGCTTGCATTGACATAATTAAGTCATTCAACCCAATTGTAACAACCCTCGACTCTCACGCAGATGATTTCACTAAGAATGTAACTCTTGACTCTTTTTAATACATAGATGGAAAACGCATTTGAAAAAGTTTTCATAAAGCAAGTCTTCTACGGTTGAGTTAGGTATCAAGAATTCCTCAAGGTAAGCCTGGAGATGACTATTTGTAGCTATTCAATCAAGTCTTGTTCAAAATTCATAGTTCCTCTACGAACAGGAATGATGCAACTCTCTATTCTATATTTTCATACTTGACTCTATTCAGGCTAGAGGAACTCCAGATCGATGATTATAAGAAGATAGTATATTCCCAGGATGCAGTTAAAATGCATGTCTTTTTGCAATTCATATTCAATGCTGAGGCTCTTAGAGAGCATGTCAGGGATGACTGGATCCAACTCTATGACTATACATACATTGACGACAAGATCATTGGTGGAGTTGAAAGAATGCTCCCTAACGTTGCAGATGTTCTAGCAACTATCGAAAAGAAAGCAACTGGACATATTGCAAGTTCTCTAACGCAGAGCTCTTTCTCTATAGCTGCTGCTAAAAGTGGAGATGAGACAATGGCAAAGACTATTCTAGAGGATAGCATCGTAAAGAAGAAGGCTCCAACTCAACCAAAGCCATTCAAATTAACTAAGCCCAAACCAAAAGTAATCGAAGAGCCAGAGGCAATTAAAAGGGAAACAAAGGCTATTCCATTACCCAAGCATATTTTTAAGAAATCTCTGGCTGACATTGAAAAGGAGAAACAAGAGAGGCGCAAGAATCAGATTGAAAGAGTCCGTAAGGACTACGAAAAAGGGAAAGTCCAACCATTCAAGCTCAAAACTAAAGAAACCAATTATGATATTGAAAAAGTAAAAGAGAAATTTCAAGAAGAAGACAACAAGAAGTATCAATTTGATAAGAAACATGCCAGAAAGCTTCCTGATTTTAACAAAAATGAGCCTGAAATCAAACCTACTGCAGCTGCTATTCTTCGTGAAGGCCATCAACTCACTAAAAAGAGGCAAGAAGAAGAGAAAATTCTCAAAGATTTTGAGATGAACATGCGAGATGCCTCAGAATTTGACCGCTGGTCTAAAGAAATGGCGGAAAAGGAGGAAGTCGAAAGACTAGAGCACATGCAAAAGAAAAAGATCGAAATGGAGCTTGCTAGGCACGAAGCCATAGAAGTTAAGAAACAAAAGCACAAAGAAAACCAATTCAATGCAGCCAAGATGAAGGTCGAGGCAGACATGCGGGAGGATCAACGGCATCATGAGAAAGTAATTGATCAAGAGAACAAGAAGGAACTCATCTCCATGATCCATGACCAAAGAGTTGTTGCTGGCGATGAAAAGGAGAAAATTGTCCAAAAGAACAAAGAGATTCGTGATCAAGTCCATGAAGAAATCAGTGAAGCTCTCGCTAAAAGAAGAGCTGAGGAAGAAGCTGAGCTGAGAAAAAGAGAAGAACTCATTAGGCAAATCAGACAACTCGAAAAGATTCCGATTGTTAGGACTCAAGGATTTGACCCAACAGAGACAGCTGGGCATGGAGTCCTCAATGAGATGTCAATCGCTGAGCTTCGTGAAAGGCTTGAATATGAGAAGATCAGAAGAGAGGCCGAAACTGAAGAAAGAAGGAAGCAAAACCTACAAGGAAAGGCAGAAAAGGAGGATATGCTCAAAGACACCAGTGATCAGATTCTCATTGCCAGGAGCGAACTAAGAAATCAAAAAGATAAAGAAAGAGAAGAGAAGAAAAGAAAGAAGGAAGAACTTGAAAGAAAAAGACAGGAAGAAAGAGAAAGAGGTCTTAGAGAAGCCCACCGAAGGATAGCTGAGAAAAAGAGAATCAAAAAAGAGGAGGATGATAGGCTAGCAGCTGAGCTAAGAAAAATTAAGCTCCAAAGAGAATACCTCAATGCCAAGAAAATGCAGATGGAAAAGAAAGTTAAGAAGGATTTAGAAGCTGGACTTGAAAGGCAAGAGAGAGACAAAAGAAATGCTAAACTTCTTGAAGAATATAAAAGAACTCAAGTGAAAGTTAAAGATATGCAAGTGAACGCCAGAAACAATAAAACAAAAGTCCAAGGCAAGCTAGATTACGACAAAGGATATAAAGAAAGATTAGAGACTCGAAAGATGGAAAATGAGATTCTTCACAAAGAAGTGTTGGGCTACAAAAACACTAAGTATGCTAAACAGAAGATTCAAGAGGAGACACTCAAAACAAAGCAGCATAAGATGAATCCTTTCAAGGACAAGATCAACAAGCAATCTATAGATAATGCCACTAAAATTCAAAGACGAAAACAAGGAGTGACAACTACGTTCCATGCTACCAAGGAAATGGCTCCTAGTGAAGAAGATTTCGATCAGATGGATGAAGATACTGGCGGATTACTGGCTATGGAAGATGAAGGCAATGAACAAGAAGACCAAGTTAATAAAATGATGGAAATGGAAGCATAAATTAGATTTTCTACAACTTGGGTTTATAATGGGGTTTTGGGGTTTTGGGGTTTTGGGGTTTTGGGGTTTTTGGGGTTTTGGGG